TATGGAAAAGTGGGCGAGTTGGTTCAAGGACATTCTTGGTAACATTTTGGTGCGCACACAGCGAACTGCGTTTGCGCCGAAATTTTATTAAGAAAAAAACGTATCTAGCCTCAGTCTGTACCGGCTTTGATCGCGAGCAAAAATGTCCGTGCGACACCGATATCATGGTGCAGTGTGAAAGCAAGCCTGACTGCGTGCACAAGTTCGAGCCACAGCCGGTTCGACGGCGCCAAGCTGAAGGTGGCAGCCACATTTCGACAAGAACATAATAAAAACAAAAATACATATTATTAACTTCATTTTCATACTCTCAATTTTAGCGTTCTCAAAGTTATCCAATTTTACTTTGACGTAACGCAAGGAGCAAGTGAGTATCGTCTAAGTAGCGCATACACAAATATATTAGTTATTATACAACCGAAATGTCCTGTTCGTACGCAAGCATAATGCTTGATGCCTGGTGAAAACGAAACCCTGAAAGTGGCATACTTCTCTAATATCCACACCGATACGACAATGCAGAAACAAAAGACAAGAAAATAAAAAAAAATAGACACGCTTTTTTTGATGCACCAAGGGCGTATCTACGGCGGTCAGACATTTTGTGCGGAATGCTGCGAGCTGTCTGTCACGGTATGTCTAGAAAAACTGTCAATCCATTGCCAGTCGTCGCGTCGATATAATGCCAAAACACCGCGCTCTTATTTGCGCACTGAGGTGAAGCGAACGTTTCAGGGTGCGTGCACCGTTTTCTCTTGATTATAATTTATTGAGTGTGAATACACTTTATAAGCGACCCCAAACCATCCACCGCCGTCGGCGGCGTCCGCAGTCTTCTCTCTGTCTTTAAAAAGAAAGAGGACTTGGCGGGCCGCAGCGCGACGCTCTACGGAATAAGCCACGGACGCGACGCTGATATCGGTGTCAGTAACGCGCCTTATACCCCCTCCCCCTTCGCTCGCTCGCTGCAGCTGCGCGCGCACCCCTCTCTCTCGCGCGCCCGCCTTCTCTCTCAGTCTCCCGTCGAGAGCGGGTCGTGAGGGAGAGTAAAGTTAAAATCCGTTGGCATTCGCCAGTGAGTTAACGTAAACTCCCCCGTGTGATCAAATTGCGATTCCCAGGAACCATTACACCATAAAAGCACCATAGTGTGATTAATAAATATAATAGTGCGAATTAATAAATACCCCTCATAGCATCACCCCGTGTATTCGCACTTAACCATGTTCACCCTCGGGGAAATGCTTGGGAGTTTTTTTACTGCTACGTCACTGCATACGTCCTGGCAGGACTTTTGAATTCTTTAAGGTCGATACGTTACGTGGTGTTGTTCAGGCTAACTAAGCCGCTCGTGTCCCGAAAAGCTGAATCTGGTGACACAGATATCTAGAAGCGTGGCGCTATTTTCGGTTATGCAAGTATAGGTAACGTGATTAGATTTGTGTAGGCAAAAGTATACGAAAGATGAATTCGAGATGTTCACTGAATGCATCACCGTTGAGCATACTATGTTCATATCGCCCATTACTAAAAAGGTTCCGTGCATTGAGTGAAAACTATAGGCAGCAAGGTTTCCTAAACTCAAAGAATTCAGACTTACGACGTAATGAGGGTCTGTCAACTGCTGAAACATCTTTATATTCTTATTACTACACACCCAACATCGACCGTAATAGAAATAAGTTAATTAAGAACGTCACACCCAATATTCTTGTTGATGCACAGCGCTATTCCTTTTCCGAGTTTTACGGGCCGCACAATGCCATTATAATTGTATCCTGGTATTTTTGGCAGGTGAACGCTCGAAGAAAGCCAAGAATCTGTCCAGAGATGCCATCAAATTTTACCGACAGGTTATCAAAAAATAGACACATGCTATTAATCTTATTTTTAATGCGACAAGTTTTTAGGCAAATGTTCTGAAGGCAGCTGGAGGCCCCTGAAAAGCTACTTCGAGGAAAACATTTCCACGCACCATTATCTGCAATACCGCTATGAGTGCGGCACTTTCACAGAGGTTATTTGCTTTGATGCATTTATCGGCCAAGTTATTCCGCAAATTTACGAAAGCATGTAATGATTGGAAGCTACAATCACCTCCCTGAAAAACTAGCAAAATAGGAAATTATCCGCCATTTCGGTTGATAAGATGTTTCTGTCTGAATATTAGAAAAATTCAGAAGCTAAAATAAAGAAAAGATTGATGGTAATTCAGCTCCACTGTAACACTATTTCCAACCTTCAAAAGTATAATAAGAAAGATTTCCTCTGTATTGCGATGACTTAGCGTTGTGCTAATTGCAACGGATGATGTGGGAAAAAAATGTTTTCTGGAGACAGAAAAGTGCGACGTTATTATCCCGCTGAAGAACCGTTGGTTAAGACTGGTCCCTAGAAGAAACCTTAGGTAATTCTGAGAGCACGCGTACGCCGTGATTCAAACGCAATAGGCTTTCGAAGAAACTCCGAGTGACACCACCACTCTGACCGCAACAAAAGAATGCGCATGATGCTCCTTTCGCCACAGCACTGCCGCAACGATTTCGCGTACAGCTCTCGGACTGCCTCTGCGGTGCATCACAATATAACTATTGCAGACTAGCAGTGCTCCGGACCGAATGGTTAAAAAACCCCAGGTGGTCTAAATTCCCGGAACCCTCCACTACGGCGTCTCTCATAATCATATGGTGGTTTTTGGGACGTTGAACCCCACATATCAATCAATGGCGCCGAATGAGAAGCGCATGCGAGTTTGTGTCCTTGCCGCCTGTGGCGCCAAATCCCGACGATTAACTGCCATTACCAGCAGTAATGCCCAGCTCTGCAGCGTGGGCGCAGCGCCCGAAACTTGAGCTTGGTTTTTATTCAGGTGGTCCTCATGGGCGCCAGTGAGTGCATTTTCCGCTGCTGGAGACAGACAGCCCGTGTCGTGCACGAGGAGAGCAACTGTCTTGCTGGCGAAGCATTCTGACGGCATCATGCTGCCCAGCGATAACTCAAGAGATAGTGAAATCAGGGCGTGGGCAGTCATAGTGCGTCATTTATCGCGTTTGAGTTATGAGCACTTCTGCTATGGTGGCTTAGAAACTAGGTCGTTGCCCTGCTGAGCGCCAAGGCACGCGTTCCATTTCGACGAGGAATTAATGCGAAAACGCGCGTGAATTTGGGTGCGCGCTGAGGTGATGAAGAGTACACCGCAATGTCACAATTTATGCAGTAGAACTCAGTTTTAAAAATACTCAGGTCACACGAAAATTTTCATGCTATAACCAAGAATTGTTTTAAATGGGTTGCATGAAAAACAAACACATAGGCGATGACAGGCTCTTGTGAAGAAACTGCAACATCGGATGCGATATGATAACGCACATAGGTGATAAGGATGACACATATTCCGATTTGTCGGACGCGCTGGAAAATTAGGAGGCGTTCATGGCACCACCACAACCCCCTTAGAGTCAATGTATAGGCACGGCCAGTGGATCAAAGCGCTGTGATCCGGCGGCCGTGGTATAGGGACGTCTGAAATTTCGTACATTGAAACTCTTCGAAATATCAGGTTGCCAGATTATACTGGTCAAATTGTATGTATGAGAATGTATCAACGGAGGCCACCACCACTGCATGGATCATCTCGTACGCTCGACCCTGCGCTGTCCCGAGTCCATCTGTTTGGGCAGTAGTGGATTTGAAAAGTCGGCTTTGCCGCAATAAGAATAGATGTGCAATGAAGCACACTATGAATCCGAAGGGACTACGGACACCGCGCGGGTCGACGTGGCGCACAGTGGTCCATTCATGTTCAGAGGGATTGAAGCATAAAGCACCAGCTATGCGTGGCAGAGGCGTGCATGAGGCTGGCGATACCGAGATGCCTACTTATCAGGTCGTGTTGTTCAGTGGTGGTCGAGTGGCGGCGCATCGTGTACACGCATTAATCGAACATGAATAGCTAAAGTGATCATCTAAGGTTCATCTACCGCAGTTTGCACCATGCGTTGCGCCTGTCTACGTCGTCGCTGTAGGTAGGAAAATTGGGATAAAAATATTTTGCATAGTTGTCCGCGTTACCACTCTGATTGAACACTCTCACGGGTGAGATTTTCTATTGCAATAAAGAAAACAGGTGTTACCAAAGTTGTGGTCAGTCCCTTCAAACTGCAATGTTAATAACGAGCGCTGCTGGCAGTTCAAGACTAATTAATGCGTTGTGGCGTTGGCGCATGAGCCGTGCATTTGATCGTTGTGGATCTGCTCCATTTTATAGGGTGGAAACGTTTGCCAGATCTACTGTACGGTCACCGTAAGGTGTTCGGAACTTTTTGGTGAGGGCTTCGCTACACCTCTGAAACCATTGCAGACTTCACGTGAAAGCTTGCGAGTGCAGACATCGATGTGGGCACAGGGTGGCACGAATGAGCGAGTCGCAAATCACGGTACAATGGATCGAGCAATATGTGTCTCTTTGCCGCGCGGAGAGTAAATTCAGCAATCTCCGATTGTTCGATCGACTTATTAAACACAAAAAACGCATGTCGCGTTCACTTGTTACGTTAAAAATTGCATTGTTTGTGTGCACTTCTCGTACATTGCGAATAACACTGTGGTGCTTCAACGCGTCACCAAAAGCTTCCTAATGTCTTTAGGATTGCAGTTTCTACCACGCACTTCGCGCATTGAACGGCGGTGTGGGAAGGGCTCGAAGATTACTGTCGCAATGACTGAGGCTCGTAGCCACGCGGCGCGAGTTCTTTCCTCCATTTCTTTCTAAGTAACGATAATGTCAAACAAGAGATGGCGGCAGTGCAGCTGCGCTAGAAGCGGGACTTCACGGCAGGAGCGTGTGGCTCCGCCCTGTGACGCACTTCGGCGAAGAGTCGTGAGGTGGTGTTTTCACGAGCACACACAAAGAAATATATAACGATCGTCCGTAGTGCGCCGCTCTCTCTCATCGCGATAAGATTGGCCGAGGAGAGGGCGTTCGCGCTGCTGGCATCGGTGGTGGCGGCAGCAGCAGCGGCAGGCTCGGTTACGCGCGCGCCGCTGTCGGAGTCCGAGCCGAGGTTTTCGCTCCTGCACACGGCGGCAGTCGGCGCTGGCGCGGTACGCGCACCGTGTGTAGCTAGCCGCCGTTGGTGGGTCCGCTCTCTCGCGTCGTCCGCCGCTTGTCGTCGCAGTCTCTGCAGGCGCATTCGAGCCGTCGAACGCTCGCGATCAGATACTGCGACCAGAGCTCGTAAAAACAATCCTTGAGTGCGGCGCTTCTGTGCCTGGTCGGGCGATGCGGCCCTGCCGCAGCGACCGGAGGTGAAACAGCCCCCGCGAGAAGGAGAAGCCGACGAACAGGCAGGCCGGCCGTGACACCGCGGTGACGGTTGGTCGTCCGTGATCGCCGAGGCCCGAGTTTTTCCTCGTCTTCGAGCGCAAAGCCGGCCATGGGCAAGAAGAACAGCAAGCTCAAAGGCGAAGTCGTCGCCCGGCTGGCCAAGGAAACTTACTGTGAGTACACGTCTCCCTCGTGCATTAGGAAACGCTGCTGCATGGCAGATACTTCTCGTCCGCGTCGATCTGCACGAGAACGCCTGCCAAAGGCCTTCCCGCGTGCGAATCGACGTGGAATATACCGGCACAATCGGCCGTTGTGAGTGGGCGCACTTACTCGCACTACGGGCACACACAGCGCCGCAACGCAGTGGCCGGCCCAATTGTGTTTTAGCTGATCACCCGCGTTAAACGCTCAAAAGGAAAATGACAACAAAACTAGATTACGAATACATGCTAGTAGGCTGCCGCATTGGTACTGTTGCGGCCTCTGGGAAGAAGCGCGCGCTTTACTCTCGAAGAAACGATTAAGCAGTGCGGCGCGAGAAGCCGCACTGCTTTCACTCAGCGTTGTGCTGAGTGAAATCGCTCGAATCCTGTGACTGGCATATCGTGGATGAAGTAATCAAGACGACAGCTGCTGTAAATAGTCGCACCATTTGCGAACGAAACTTCAGATACTGGAGTATAGGTGCAACCTGATTCACGGATCCAAGGGGTGCGTGCTATTACCCGAAAAGCGAAACTGCGATGTTTTGGGTGTGCCTTTTGCACAGGCGCCGATGGCAATTAGTTTAATTACTCTGGCGCACGGAGAGAGCTGGTGTAGCGCAGGAGGAGAGAGGGAAAAGATTGAGAACGCTCACGGATAGATTTTCAACGCCAGAGCAGCGAGCCTTTCACACGAGGGCACGAACTATAAACCGAAGCAGCAGTCTCTATGCATAAATACTCCTTTTGATGTACAGCGCGTTGCTAGCTATTTTTTTAATGACTAAATAAGTACTATTGGCGTCAAATGAAACCCGAACAGTGGAGCTCGCGTTTCAAGCATTAGAAACAGTATAGTGTTGGCCATCCAGCCATCACCATTGACAGGCATGCAACTCCGGTTTGGCAGCACTGCGCGATCCCACTACAGTGCGTTATCTCTGTTTCTGCTCAAGTTTTCGTATGGTGGTAATGGTGGCCATCGAGGGAATGCCAAGCGCTTTTGATCGCATCACTCGCAATTCCTTGCTTTTACTTCAGCGTCGCAGTGAAAATCGGTGACTTGGCACGATAAAACAAAAAGAAAAATATAATCAGTTTGTGGTTGATCTTCAAACGATCGTCGTATCTCGTTCGCGAGCGCTGCTTTCTGCACCCTTGTTTCAGAGACCGATGCGAAAACGCGTCACTTTAACTGGGAATGCCGAGCGTTTCTTCGGAAGAGAGAGCGCAAATCATTTCGTTTTACCGGCACGGAGTGAGACAGCGTGAAATTGCCAGCATTATGAACCGACTTTTGTCTACTATAAATAGAATTAGCCAGGAATTCCATGATGATGGAGTCCGTGATGACAAACCGTGCTACAATACTTGCCTTCGGCTGTAGTAGTTTAACCTCTGTTTGTTTTATTTTGTTCCTTTCAAATACCGTACTTGGAACACTAGATGAAAATATTGCACTATAGGGGGATTGCACAGTGCTGCCACACCGGATGTATCGGCCTGTCTGCGCCAATGACTGGTCGACGGCGCGCACTATGCCATTGATAAGGCTTGTGCCACACGCTCCGCTGTTCACGTTTCATTTGATGCCGATTGTACTTATGACTCCTGCTGGCTGCTTCTTTCAGATTCATCTAAATAATAAGTCTGCGCATATACTCACCTGTACGCTGAACTTACCTGGTGTCGCTACGCACCTCGCCACAATGCTGTGGGCTCCGTTGCTTAGCATAGAAAAAAAATGCAGTGAATCGGTATTGATACGCACTGTGCATTTGTGGAGCCGCGTAAGGTGGCTTAAGTAGCCCAGCAGATTTGTGAAAATCTGCTTTAAAACACTCCGTTGCTCCGTGTCTTTTTTTTTTTGTTCAGAAAGGGGGCGCGTTTTTCGCGATCACGCTGCACTTCGTACAATATAGTTGCGGTATGTTGAAAGGCACAGAGACGAACGGGCAGCTAGTCACTTCTTGTAGGGCACCGGTAGCCGTAATTAAAGGAAAACGCGAGTGGTACAGCAGCGACATTTCCTTGGCGCTTAGTTTCGGTGAGATGCCAGGCAGCCTGACTGACCACGTGACTTCGTTGTTGAAATGTGTAGCATTCAGAATGCGCGTATTACCCGCTTAAAACATGTCGCTGAAGTTTCAGAAAAGTATGGGGTTTTATGGGACGACACCGGAATCTCATTCTGAGGTACACCGTAGTGTGGACCTCCGGAATCATTCTTGCGACCTGGGGTTCTGTAAAGTGCACCAACTTTGCGGTATGCAGGCGTTCTTGCATCTTCACTTTATAAAAATTATTGCGGCGTGCCACCGCCGGTATTTGATCCCGTGACCTCACGCGGAGCAACGTGGCGCCGCAGAGCCGACGCAACGGGTGTGTTCAAGCCATGGACATTGATGATCTGAACTTGACCACTCTGCAACCACGCAACGCGTTGCGATTTTCATGCTGTGGGCAGGTTTCGTTTTTTTCAGCAGTCGTTCATATACCGACCACTGTACACCGTATTTGTAACGGGGCCTGAGCTTGGAGCCACGGCACATTCTTGGCCCGGGGCAAAGTAGAGTTTATGATATGCGCAGCACAAAAAGCGTTGTTGGCGCTTATGAGGAGTACTCCCGATTGATTCATTGATATGTGGAGTTTAACGTCCCAGGACCACTATATGATTATGAGAGACGCCGTAGCGGAGAGTTCCGGAAATCTCGACCACCTGGACTTCTTTAACGTGCCCCCAAATCTGAGCACACGGGCCTACACCATTTCCGCCTCCATCGGAAATGCAGCCGCCGCAGCCGGGATTCGATCTCACGACCTGCGGGTCAGCAGCCGAGTGCCTTAGCCACTAGACCACCGCGGCGGGGCGAGGTGGTCTGCACGAAACTTTATGAATGACTATTTCGTGTACACATGTGTGCTTGTAACTATTTGTGTGTATACGTGGGGACTGTATATTTCACACTCATCACTGGACACGTAGAGTAACAAGCCGGGCGATGAAGCAGGCTAAAATCTCCGGGAAAGTCACCGAAGAGTGGCTTCCTCTCTCAAACGGCTAGCCTTTAGACGGCGTAGACGGCAAATCTGCTACGGCGCGCTTGCGTGGTCTGTCTTTTCTCGTGGCCTATACTGTACACGGAAGGACGACATGTTCTTAAAAAAAAAGGGCAGAGCAAAATATGAAACATGACAAACTGACGCGAAGTACGCTTGCATGAATTTGCGGCCAGAAGAGGGAAATGGAGAGACTAAACATTACAGAAAAAAAAAAACCACGCGCGGAAAATGATTTGGCGTCAGATGTCACGATGCATAAACATGACTTTACGCTTTTCTCTCGGCCTCATCAAAGCACGTACTCACACAGTAAGACGGTTCGAGATCCAGTATAACAGACGCTGCTTATACGAAATACTCATCGGGCACAAAAAAAAAAAAAGCATGCATGCCTAATCTGCTTTAGAGGGGCCCTGCAGAACTTCCAAGTAATCCTCGATTGACGTCACTACCAGAGTCTATTGCATCACAAATCGATTACCGCGAAAAAAAAATGAAATCCACCGATGGGCTAGCGGAGTTGCAGGTGTTTGTCGCAAGCTCTAAGCGCTTTTTTTTTCGTTCATTCCGGCGAGTGCGCGGAAAACTACGCAGGGGAGGGTAAGGGGAATGATAAGAAGCTACTTCCGTACACCAGCGCGCGTCATGACCATGACCTCTTTTTTTTTCTTTGAACGCGCGCTTTACTTTGAGTGTGATTACGAACGTGCTGGTGTAATATCTTGGTGTAATTCTAGTCCTTCAGGGCGCGGCTGATGCGGGCACACCGCGGCGGCCGTATACGAAGCTCACGATGTTAAAATCAACCAATGACCTCGTCCATGTGCTTTTGTGTATGTGACGCAGTCGATTCTGGTCATATGACATCGCTCGCCGAGAGGAGAGCGATTCCTAGCTGTCTTTGAAATCTCATTTTCAATTTCAAGGCACGTGCTGCGCTATATTTGAACCGCAATTTCGTAGGAGCCTCGGCTACCAGTTGGCAGCATTATCTGTAGATGTTCGACAAGCGTTGCAGGACGCTATTTTCTATATAACTATCCTCTGCGATCGACAGCGCCGTGAGGTGGGATGCAAGGCCTGCACCTCGTTGGTGTAGATACATAGTCCGGATCGACGGCGAAGCGCCAGCTATTTGGAAAACGCGCTAAGCACTCGGTAAAGGCATCTGAGCGGTTACATGCGTTCTATTCCCCTGATAAGGCATTCGCATGGGAAGGAGGTGGGTAGCTGTAGGAGCATCGGGCTTCGATAATGGACGGCCGAAGCTTGACTGGAAACGTTGGGGCGTTTTCTAATTATATTTGCCTATTTACAGACGCCACTTCACAGCGGCCGCCATTTGAACCCCACGGGGTGTGAATTTCTCGAGACCTCTGCTACGATGTCTCTCGTAATCATATCGAAGATTTAGGATGTAAAAACTGCATTATTATTATTATTATTATTATTATATATTATTATTATTATTATTATTATTATTATTATTATTATTATTATTATTATTATTATCGTGGTCGATGCAGCCTTTTCCCACCACCACGTTTTTATTTACTGAAATGAAATGAAGTTTTTGTTTGATTTAATTATTACAGTAGCCACTTGAATGTAGCTGCATGCCCTTCAAGCGTAGCCCTCATTAGCAACTACGCCACTGGCTTCAGATATATACTCAAAGATATATACTCAAAGGTTCCTCCGAGCTAACGGTCCAAAGCTAACGTGATAATAACGATAAATAACGCTGCCAAAATAAGCAAGCTTGAAAAACAGTGGCGACAACTCATGCAAGATCACGACACAACGCCATTCTACTGAGAAAAAACTGTGTCATGTTCTCGGAACACGTTTTTGGGAAGCAGTACGAAATAGGCACCGTTTTTAGGATATCAACGATAGAC